CCGCTTGAATTTTTTTCACCTTTTTAACCTTCCTTGGACTTCCATAAACATTTTAAGACCAAAATTAGGTACATCTGTTGGCCGTTCTCGAGTTTTAGCGAGATTAACGAACGTAAATTCATTTTTATTCATATAGACTACCCATAAGTTTTTTTGAAAAAAAGTATACATAATTATGAAGTATAACTGTTATGATACTGCAAACAATCATTATGTTTTTATAATAACTATCGTGAGACATACTAAATTAAGTAAAAACGCGGGTTACTCACGTGAATGTACTGAGAAAAGCTACAGTGAGCTGCGCGACGTCGCCGCGACCGCGCACGCTGCTCATGAGGAAGAACCCCTCTGTGGTTCGAAACTAGTAGAGCTTTTCTCAGTACATTCACGTGAGTAACCCGCGTTTTTACTTAAATCATTATGTTTGTTATGCAATATGTAATAGCTTTATGTTGTGATAATGGTGATGACTTTTACAATGGCATAATGCGTCACATCATTATTAGGGCATCATTGGCTTGTTTTGCTACATAAGAAGTGCTGTGGGCTGCATCAAGAAACATTTTGTCATGGTCACAAGAGCCAGTGATTAAAATATTAATCCTACAATATTGTCACCCAGGTGGCGAGGTAATCAAACAGATTAACGCGGCGTCTGGCGCACACTGCGAGTTGGACCGTCGCGCGCAGGGCTCCGACAGAAACAACAGGACCTTCTACATCAGGGGACATCCCGAGGCAGTCGAGCACTGCAAGAGGATCATTATGGAAAAAGTTGGCATGGTATGTACTCAAGTAGTTATTAAAACAATAATAGTTATTTAACAAAAAAATATTTCCTTATTCGACTTTACTCTAGCTAGACTCTAGAGTAAAGGCAATATGGACTGTGTTAGCTAACCTTTTTCCACCATAAAATAATTTGACTTTTACTTACCAATATTACTAAACTACAAAACCAATTAAACTGCTTCAAGTGATACCTTCCTTTGTCTTTCTTGTTATAAAGTTCTATCTTCTTTGTCATAGCCGGTGAACTTCATAAACGAGGGCAACGGTGGCAATGGCAGCAGCGGCAATGGTAACGGCAACGGGAACGGCGGCAATGGCGGTGAATACTACGGCGGCGGCGCGGCCGGGCCGCCGGCCTGGGGGTACAACCCGCACTGGCACCAACCACAACAACAACAAACTCCACAGGTACCACATACCACACATTACTATGCCATTCCATTATTTGTCTACACAGACAATATGCTCCAAACGAAATGTGTCTTAAATTTTGGTAGCAAGCTTTAGGTATCTCTCTCTTTCTCTTTATCTGTAGGGATTATCACTGATAGACTTGAAATTGGCCATAAAATAAATAAAATCTCACTTAACTATTTCTTCTAAACAATTTCCTATAACTTCCAAAATTTGTTACGTAAGTGCAAGAGTTTAACACTGTAGTATTGAAATAACTTTATGTTTGTATTGCGTAGCAACAGGTTCAGATTAACCCTGCGACTGGACAGCCGGACTACTCCCAGCAGTGGATCGACTACTACCGCTCACTGGGACTCGTGCACGAGGCAGAGGCCATCGAACAACAGGCCAAGCAACAGAAGCAGGGAGGCGGCATGGATGGTAAGTCATCACAGCTTTAATGACTTCCGTTTTTGTTATTCTAGTAGGTTTGTTTCCAGTTTCAATATTCCTTTTTTTAAAACAAAGTTTAAAATGAAAAGGCTTGAGAATTAACTCGTATATATGGGTATGTACAGGTAGTGGAGGTGGTGGCACCCCTCCCGCATCAAGCGCCAGCGGCAGCGTAGCGGCGGCAGGCCCGGGCGCCGCCCCCGCAGCCCCCGCCGCCGGGGCGCAGCCCGACTACAGCGCGCAGTGGGCCGAATACTACCGCAGCATCGGAAAGCTCAAGGAGGCCGAGGCCATCGAGGCACAAATCAAACTTAAGGTAACATACTTGTAAACTTATTTGTGGACAGTACAATAATTATCTTGTCTACGTCGGTTTTATACGCGTGATTTTTATTGCAGTCGAGTGGTGGCGGTAGTAGCGCGGGCTCTGCGGGCAGCAGTGCGGGCGGCGGCGCGGGCGGCGGCGCGGGCGGGGGCGCGGCCGGCCAGTACGCGCAGTACGGGGTGTACGCGCCGCAGGTGTACCCCGGCTACCAGCCCTACCCCTACGCCGCGCAGCCCGCGCCCGACCATCATCAATAGGCCGTAAGTCACACACAACACCGATCCTCACTCACCCACCCGTCAGTGATGTCGGCCACTAAACATCGAATTGTTCAATCAATAATTCCATGTTTAACAGCCGAGTCTCCCGACAGATGGTTGTTGTATCTGACCACTAGTTGATCGTGCTTACTTGTATGCCAGCTGTCACACGTAGGACAGTGTTCATGTATCGTACTATTATATTATGCCCATTATGTGTATTATTTTGTTGTGTATTTTTATTTCAATCCATTTTTTGAAGGTCGTTTTCTTGTAACATTACAAATACGTGATTTTATTTCTGTATTTCGTTTTTAGTTTTCATTTATTCTATGACATGTCAATAGTACCAAATAATATTAAGTAACCTTAACTTTGTTTACCTGCAATGTAGCAAATGTAAACTATTAAATTACACAAATTGAAATGAATCAATAAATAAACTTACACATAACAAGGTTGTGCAAGAATTATGTAATGATATTATATTATGTACTATCTATGTATGTTATTATTGCTTATCACTGATTGGTATTTTGTTGGACAAACAGCACTTGGAGCAATGTGATTTATGTAGTTGTTTCAACTGTTTGCATCCACTGGTGATAAATATATTGTTGTGTTTTATGAATTCGGACAATACATCCAGCATGTTATGGTATATTTTGTGTACTATTATCATAGGTGATTGGTTATTTTTACATTGCAAATTAATCTTTATTTTACAGGCATTTTCCGTTACAATCACATATCACATTGACGAAATGCATGACTTAATTTATGATATATTCTATTTCAGTTTGCATGTCATACAAACTCGGTGTAAAAGATATTTTAATGCTATATTGACGTGTGGAGTAGTAACTGTGTGTGAGGCGTGCCGTGGGTCCGATGTATAGCGTGTGTAGTGTTGCAGATGTAGGCCAGTGCCGGGGTTGCCTGCTCGACAGCGCAAATGTTTGTTCCGTAGCAAGTGTTGCCATGTTGTTTGTTTGTGTGATTGCAGAGAGCCGACGGAGGGCCAGGAGACCTGCCGGCGCCTGACACCCCCGTTGTACATTATGATGAAATAGATTATAACTTGGAAAAAGACCGCATCATACAACTTCTTCAAAGCCTAGCTGACGACCCACAATAAATAAGTTTCAGTTGGCGCGCGGTTTTAGATCTGAGTCGACTTCTAGTGGATATTATATTATATATTGCTTCAGACAGATGTTTCAACCGTGTGATCTGATTAACGTTTTAATTATTATTTATGATTGTAAATAAACTCTAATAGAATTTTCGGCATCCATTTCGTGGTCCACTCATATCTAAATTCACGTAATCACGATCAGACAGTACATAGGCACATATCACGTATTTATTTCTTGTGGGTAACTAACACTTAAATATTGTCAACAAAACGTATATGATGAGATTATTTTACGAACACTTATTATTTTAACTTACGGCTGTGTGGTTTATTCTTTAACTGTGTTATATCATGTTCTATTTATACTGAAATGTTATGATTGCTTATGTGCCAATATTGATAATTTGACATGCCAGTCTGTCCAGGTATAAGTTAGAAAGCCACACTGCCTTAAAAGATGTAACAGAATGATCCGACCTACCACGGAGCTATAGAGAGAATGAACGAAAAGCGGACTTCACGCCGCGAGGAGCCGAGGTAAATGCACTGTGCTGAGTGACTAGTTGACACACGCATATTGTCTTATAAATACATGTGTAATATCCACGTGAATTTGGAGATCAGCTAATTATTTTTCCAGAAATCAGTAAGAAATCATGAAACAGAACTCCCAATTCATGTAATGAACTATGTTTAGCATAAGTTAGGTTATATGTTTGGCGTCACCTCTCTCTGGACAGCTCGTAGGTTGTAATGCTGATGTCAGTGATGTACGGTTATATATAGGCTCAGTTTAATTAGGTGTTAGTCTATATGAGAAATAAATGAGATAAAGGTAATGTAACGCTATCTACATTCCTCTCGACACTGTTCAATTATAGTTCGACGCGGTACTCTCGCGCGACACGGCACCGAGGGCGACAGCTCTCCACAGACTTGTATTAATTTTTAAGCATATAAAGTGTATATTGATTCACTAGAGTGTTCATTTTATTTATAATCATGGTTTCTGTCCACAGTCCCTGGAGGTAAGTGACCCTAACTCTAAACAATATATTCATCGTTGTGCTTACTCTCTCTGTCTCTATATTATTCTGAAATTTTTTGACGTTGTGTTATATTTCGTATTTAAAATAATTGAATTTTTATTTTCTCTTGAGGATGTTTAGTTGTAATAGGATCCTTACTATTAGTACGCGATATTTGACGTATGGTGAAATGATATTATTATTACGACCGATTACAGTAATAATTCACTGAACGCAGTATGATGATGTACTCGTCAATTGTTTTGTCATACGTTAAAGATCACATATAGTCGTGTGTATTTTGAGTGACCACATTGTTTCCTATCTGATTAGGTGTAATTCTTACGTTGACATCTCGTAGACACTAATCTCACTGTTCATTATTTTACCGTATTCGTTTTATGATGTTTGCATATTTTAAATGTGCTTTTCACAGAATCGCATATCCAGAGATATGACATCACTCTTTTCCAATACAGACGAGCATACTTCACCACACTGGCGGGACGTCTTGACATGATGACCGATACTTTTAATATTATGCATTCTGCGTTACTCGATGTAACATTTCCATGTTTGTCTGTACTCTATATCTTATACTTGTATTTTTACATCGCTGTTTACTTGCTATGTTTATTTTGATAATGATCTTATGTGTATGCTATATCTGCATCTCATCATGTGATAACATCACTACCCTCATTGTTGTCGATCTGTTAAAGGTGGGAGAAGTACTGCCACTCGTTAATATCATTGAAACAGACACAAAAATGATACAAATAATAATTGGATTATGGCGGAACGAGCACAATTGCTGAGATAAAGGTGGTATTACTGAGATTGTCTTGGTAAGTCTTATTATAAAATGAAAGGATGGAATACACTATTATCTGGTTATTCTCTAAAGTCTTGTTAGGTAATTACTACTGTTAGAGTAGACCAACATTTTGTCATGAAACAGCATACCTCCGTAAGATTAGCAGTGGTCTCACGTTATACTATAATTAATCAATTACTATAGTAGTTATTACTGAGAGTACGTGAAAACATTTACGAATACAGAGGGATATTAACATAAAGTTCAATGTGGTGAATAACGATTTTACGAAAAGTACAAATTTTAATGGGCTTAGGGTCACTTTCGGCGTAGTGAAGGATCAAAATTAATATTTTCTAATGGGAAATGTTCATTGTTTGCATAAAATTCGCATAATTAATTATTATTGAATAGTAGTCTCCTACAGTTATATTTTTATACGTGAATTTGCCTGCACACTTGTAGCTGGCTAAGAGTGTGCAGATTTTAAAGCAATTGGACGCACTTCACGGAAATGTTTTGTTATTGTTTCCATTTCGTAATTAAATGCAAAATGACAAACTTATTGCGGTGTAATGCGTCCATTGCTTGTGTGTTGAACGAATAGTATGTCTAGTCATGATCATTGATTTTAATTTTGTATTAGTTTTGTCTATGTTCAACCATTTTCATTTCACATTTTAGTTCTTACGTAGATTCATAGAACTTTTCTTTTTCAAAATTATTTTGTTTTCATGTAAACATCTACACATTTTTTTATAAATTTGAATACATTATATTGGTTTCCACAGCGGCGAGTTAGGGGCAAACAATAAATTAATTATATTAAAACTATGTTTTGTTTTATTTCACACATAGATATGAGAAAACATAGTTATGCACTTAGGATTAGGACCTGCTTTACTTACAGACTAACAATAAATAAACTTTGTTTGTACTCGTTAGGTATCACTGTAAAATTAAAGCTAATATAACACATTAACTCCTAATATATTAAAGGTACACTTTAGATAGACTAGAAATCGCTGAAAGTTAACTGCACTGAATTTAATTGGAATGTGCTGTATACCGGTAAAGGGGAAATGCTACAAGTATAATGGCAGTGTAGATAAGTACCCATACTTCAAAGGTTTAGTATCTTTTCTGAGGTGTACAGTCTGATTCATCAGCTGAGACGGGAGAGTTTAGGGACGTAGTTGATGCACTCGATGTTCTGATGAGCTGTGACAGTCTAGACAGCGGCGCAGTCGCCCAAGGTTGGAGTGGACTCCCTGCCTCGATCACTGGTGAAGGAGATACCCTGCAAAGGTATATTGACACATGTAGTTAGGTACGTACAGCGTCCCAATGTGTATCAATCATGAATTGGTACTGATGTCTGTAGTAGGTACCGCCACTGATACTTCTAGGGTAACTACAGCCGAAAATTTTATCCATGGATAAAATGTTTGATGCAAAATAGTGAATGGCTTTCTATATTTTCATATCTGTGCAATGAAGTCGTGCAGGCTTTGGTTCAACTCCCAAGCGAACTTACCTATTTCTTCTGGGACGTGCAGTTTTCGGTCTCTTGTTTTTGAGTTTATTTGCTGTATGGGCTGAGGCTGGGGCCGCACTTTCAACATCAGCCCCACTGCCAGCTCCTGTACAAGGGACAGGTTAATTTTTTAAGCGAATGATGTCATATCCTAACTGACTACTATGAGAAGAAATGCTAAAAGAAACTCAGAGGTTGGTTTCTTATCCAGTCCTGTAGTACTTGGGTAGGTATGAGGAAAAAATAGTAAACAATCTATTAGGTACTGACCATAATGTCACTGGTTCAAGTCTCCTACTTAGAAAGAGTAGCTGTGCAGTTTCGTTGATAGTAAAAGTACAGAAATAAATACCTAATATAATATAATTGAATGGGGTAAAAAAGTATAAGGAATGAAATTATACGTACCCACAACAAACATGGAATGTTCCACTTGTCCGGGCGCAGGCAATCCAGTTGCTGACAGGATGCACAGCGGTCGAGCTGCTCTTATACGAGCTACATCAGCTACCGCTCTGGTAAACAATAACGTTAAAGCCAGTATAACGAGACAATACAGTAACGAAGGTCCTACAAGTGATTTGAAGTCGGTACCTTCGATTTGTCACAATCAAGATTCAATAAAATTTTATTTTTCTTTATTCAGGAAACAAACAGTCTCTTACAAATAAAATTATTACAATAAAATAAAAATAGACAAACGGTACCTATGGTACAAGAGGAGTAGTAGAGTTGGTCCTAGATTTAGCTATAATCATAAAATAACACTTAGGTTCCGTTATCTAAATAAAAGTGACCAAAACCAAGGATACTGATGTGGAAAATACCTACTTATTCATGAGTCAGTATCGATAGGCACATTTTCAAATAAGTAAAGCTAAATAGCGTTATAACGTAAGCTTCTTCGGAATCTGAATCTCGTATCATCTGGTCAAAACAATACCCTTCCTCAGTCTAGTAAAAAGTGAATGGGGTTTGTAAGGTTTGTTCATATGCCTCTGCTACCCACAGGGGATTAAAAAAAAATTTGCTATACATTGTCTTTAGAACATCACATCAATCAGCAATAAATTTTATCGATCAGAAGCAGAAAGAAACGACAACGACAATTAAAAATGTTATTCACTTCCGGTACAAAGTGTTGCGTGCTAAAATAAACTGCATTATTTTAGCACTTGCCACACTAGCAAACCGTCAGTCGGGAACTCGACAAACTGTCAAATAAATTGTCAAATATTAGTGATTACTGTCAGTCACGCACGTATTGCATCTTTTTTGCTTGGATGATTGTTGGTTGGTCGGTCGGTTGATACTGTGCATACGACATCAGTCATCAAGTTCACAGCTCGTAAAATCAATGTAAGTTCATCAGTTTTCCTACATTATTGTGAATATACCATAAAACTCATCATGAGTGATGAAGACTCTATACCACCGAGTGATACTGAGTCTCAACGCATAGAAGAAGATTTTATTAAAACTTATAAGAATTTATCTGTACTTTGGGATACCAAAAATAACTATTATACCAATAAATACAAACGGAATGAAGCTCTAGATGTGTTACTAGATATCATGAAGAAATCAAATCCGTCTGCAAATCGATACAGCGTACGAAAAAAAATCAACAGTTTAAGATGTTCTTTTAGAAAAGACTTAATTAAACATTTGTCTTCGAAGCGTATTAATGAAAATGGTGAAGAAATTTATGAATATAAACCTACTAATTGGAAGTTTTACGAACTGAGATTCCTTGAAAGAGAGGACGATGCTAATGATAACAGTTTTACTGAAGTTAAAATAGATGACAGCTCGTTTCTAGTAAGTTTGATGAAGGTTTGACGTTTTTTATTTGATAAAAAGGCGAAACGGTATATAGAATATAATAATGAAACATTTTATTATAACGTCTCTAAAATGTCTTTGATTGAACTTGACAATAATATCATTGAATAATAGTCAGCCACACTGCCTGACAGCGTGAAATAATAACCATTAACTTATTTTTGAATGTTCTTTCTTTGGATTATTTATTTCTGGAATATGTTTAATAATGTTTGTGTAAGCTAACTTACTGTATTTTTATAGGAGGTTAGTGCCGACGAATTGGCGTTTGGACATGAGATTAGTTCGTCTCCTGTTAGCGATGTTTTGGCTACAACTAATGAACCGGCGACAAAAAGACGTAAAAGCAAAAAGATGACGAATTGCGTAAAGATTGAAGAAGTAGACACTAATGAGTATCGTAATATAGAAGAGGTAGACCAGGATTTGATTGACAGAGAACTTGAAGCCATAGGAGCCAATGTGACTTGTAAACTAAAGAGAATGAATTCGCTGCAAAGATATCATGCAGAATTGTTAATTAATAAAGTTTTAATATCTGGCTTGAAGAACAATTTAACTGATGATACGGACTTGACTGACATTTATAGACCGTAACTTACACACAAGGAATTTAGAAGTAAGGCAGTGGAATTACTGTTACAAAGAGCTCGTTGTAACATTAGTTTTACATACTTACATTATATACATTAAATTAGTCAGTAGGTTAGGTACCTACATTAATTTACGGTACGCAATAGGTATCAATATTGATTATTTTCATAAAATATTGTTTCATCCTGTGTTACCACTATTTTTGTTTGTTAATTTCAAAGTGGCGCTGAATATTTTTCGTTTTCTTGTCATGTAATATAATTAAAACTGATTCAGAATAGGTGCAATAGTGTAAGTACATCAATACGAATTACATAAACATTGTTGCCATAAGGATAAAACTGTGATAATAAACTTACTTTATTATAATCGTTTATTTATTTGATGTTACCTATTTTGTGCAATCAATATGAAACAAAAAAACTTACGAATTATTTCCGGAACTGGCAGTTTCTTCCAGTGGTACATCACTTTCTACAGCACTGCTTTCAGATGCTACCAGGTACATAGATCTGAGGAAATATTACGTTTTATTACTCTGGACTCATAACATACTTAACTGCTGAAACGTAAGTAATTAATGAATATTTATAACCATGAGGACAAGCCGTGGATCTTGGCCGTGGGCAAAGAAAATATAAGTTCTATCTAGCCATGTGTTTGACTGACCACTGACGATCAGTCTGACTGTCAGTCGAATGTCCTTGACTGCGTGATTGATGGCATTGACTGACATCGGCATGACCATGTAATGCAAATCTTAATTTAGATGTCTATCAGTTATAATGTTTAGTGTGTAGTTTGTTGATAGAAATGATGCAAATTACTTGTACTGTAAAATATTATTTATTACCTGTTAAGTATTAGAGATAATTATGTATTTGTACGTACCTGGCAGGGACGTATAGATGAGGAGGCGGTGGTGCCGCACGTCGTGACGCGGAACGCGCGCGACGAGCTCGTGACGCTCGCCCCAGCAACACTGATTCTGCACAAACACGTCAAAATTAAATGTTTTCACGTGTTCTATATTAGACTGCACGATTGGTGCGGTGGTTGGGCAGCCTGCTGCCGTGCAACGTGTCGCGGGTTCGATTCCCGCACGGGACAATATTTTGTGTGATCCACAAATTGTTTTTTCGGGTCTGGATGTCATTGTCTATGTGAACTAGTATGTTTGTATACGCACCCACTAAATACTAATGTGGGGCAACGTTTTTTTTTTAATAAATAAAATTTTTCTTTATTAAAACCACCTGCTGATACGAGTGACAACGAAAAACAATCCTATCAATCTCATAATATAGGTAAGTAGTTTGGTTGATAAAATAATTTTCAAGATATCTAGCAGACGTGCAGAGGTGCAGATACCGACATTTTTAAACTATGGTAAAATTAAGTCTTTTTTTAATTTTAACGTTGATAAAATCGATTAAAGAAGTTACTTTTCTACCAACCTCAACCGTTGACTACACTAACTACATACCTACTTACTTTATAGGTGGTTGATGATGATGATGAATTGCTACTTCAAGTTACCTGATATAGGGTCGCTGTCACTGTTCTCGTTCCTCTCCCGCCTCCATCCAGTGTCGGCGGTGGGCGCGTCGGCCGCCACTCCGAACAGCCCCGATACCGCACCCGCTACTACGCGCCGAGCTGATCTCGCTGCCGTCTACATCACCATCAAATTGCCAGTAGATTTATCACTATTCATGTATTCTTGTAGTTTACCATTTTCTCCAAGTTACTGATTACAATCAAGTATACAGAGAAAATGTTAAACCGGTTAAAATCAAAATCACACATATACGGATCATGCAAGACTACTTTTCCGAGAAACCAAAAGCACTAAAAATATTCTATGTCCGATTTTCGAGTTTAGTGTTTCCAACCCAACGGTCCCTAAGAACATTTCTCAGTGCTTTGCACTGGTGTTCCGTTCGTGGACATTAGTAGCTTAATCAAAGGAACATTCACAAGAAATTATTATAAAGGTATTCTACTTACTGAAACATTGATGTCTATCTCAGGCACAGCGTCTAAGTCCGCAGCTTTCTCAGCGAGCGCCTTGATCTCAGACTTGTCAGAGCCCGGGTCCTCCGCCAGCTTTATCAACTCGAACAAATAGTCCGGGAACACCTCGTCGGAAACTGGTGATAATGATTAAATAGCGTTAAAGTTATTCAAGTGTAAAAAAGTAGATAATACCGGTGAAACTCTTACCCGGCTTCTGTACTTGTATTTCAATCATGTGTTGCATTCCTGGACCGTACATTTGACCCTGTATTGGATACATTTGTCCCATAGCTCCGTAAGGCCCCTGCATTGCAACTGCCATCTGACCACCGGGAACTTGCATTGGATCACCTATCATTGATATTTGAGCACTACCCATTGGTATTTGTCCACCGCTTATTGGCATTTGTCCACTATCCATCGGGATTTGTCCACTACTCATTGCCATTTGTCCAGTAACCATTGGCATTTGTCCACTACCCATCGGGATTTGTCCACTACTCATTGGCATTTGTCCAGTAACCATTGGCATTTGTCCATTACTCATTGGCATTAGTCCAGTAACCATTGGTATTTGTCCACTACCCATCGGCATTTGAGCCCTACCCATCGGCATTTGACTACCTATTGGGACTTGGACACCAGGTTGTGGCAATGACATCTGGGTACCCGGTAGAGGCATCGGAGTACTGGCATAGGGCATCATTCCACTTTGTTGTGTTGTCGGTACACCAGTATATGCCATTTGCCCACCAACTAATGGCGTTTGAGCGCCAGGTACTGGCATGTGAGCTCCTGGCAACGGCGTTTGAACGCCAGTATACATTGTTTGAACTCCCATTGTTGGCATTTGAGTTGTGGTTGTAGGTATTGGTATGGCACCTATCATTGGAGCTTCTAAGCTTGTTTTATTTTGTGGAAAAGATGATGGTACGCTGAGTTGATTAGGAGTGGTTACAAAAGGTTGCGAAGGAATCGCTGATATGGGCACTATTGGGGCTGTTTTGCCATTGACTAACAAATCAGGAGTTGGTTGCTTGTGCTCTTGACCTGAAAAGAAATGGTCATTGATTTTATTACGCGTAAGTACTAGTGCAATTTTTTCAAGCGTAAAGTCTGTCAGTAGTATTTTTAAAGCTCTTGTAAGTAACTGCGTACCTGGAGTTCCAGCAGTCCCCAGGTTCATTTCCTGGGTGAAAGCCATGACGTTGAGTGCAGAAGAAAGTGCGGGTGCCACTCCCCCTCCCTCGGTGCCTGCACCGGGCGCCAGTGGTACTCCTGCTGAAGTCACGTCAGGCGGCGGGGCTGCTGTCCTACGTCTAAATAAAATTAAAAAAAATATAAATTGTATTTGCAATTAGAAGTAAGCCCTTTTTTATGGATTAGGCGTCTTAGGCAAAGCAGCAGAGAGAGATGAGGAGGTTATCAACGTTGTCTATGGACACCCGCAACACCAAAGAAGTCACAGGTGCATTGCCTTTTAAGAAGAAGTGCGCTCTTTTCTTAAAGGTTTTTGGTCGTATCAATGTGGACACAACACATTGACAAATGATCAGGTATGGGAGACTTGTTCCTAGAACTATTTAGGGCGACTTACCCTAAAGGAGCCTTAGTGGGCGTAGAGATGGACACTCGACCCCACATCAGTCGGCGGAGCTCCTCGCCACTGATACCGCGACGACGCAGCTCAGCTATCGTTACTTTACCCACGCGCTGGGACAAAATATTTCATTAACTGTATCATATATTGTATAAACATCTAATCCACATACTATTGCCTAGTTTCACGATGATACAACAATTAAAACTTTGACTGAACGGTTGGCGCGGTAGCTGAACAACTGGCTGCCGCCCAACGTGTCGCAGTTTCGATTCTCGCAAGGAACAACTCTTTGTGTAATCCATGGATTGTGGTTCCGTTTCTGGGTGTATGTTTGTAAACGCACCCACGACACAGGACAAAATCCTAGTGGGGGTAACGTTTTTTTTAAAAAACTGCGTATTTCAGATTTTTAGATATTATTACATAGTTCGTTAGGTACAGGGAGATCTAATAAAAACTTGTTAAATAAATAAAAATACTTCTGCCCCTTACCTTCCAATTCGTCAATGCACCTTTTCTCTGCTTGGCTCTAGTCTTGGCGGCGCTCTTAATCACCATAACAGCTCTGACTTCGTACCGAGGATCATCAGACGGTCCTAGACCTATGGAGTACTCCTGCAAGTACTTGTGGGCATCTTCCTGGGCCACTGACCTTTCTAGAGACACCACTATCTTCGCCCACTGTTATGAAAAGAAAGTTTTAGATGATATTTCCTTGTTTGAGTCAAATTTATCTAGTAGGTACAGGCAGGCACGGTAAAGGTAAGATCAAGTTTTTTTTAAGAGTTGAACTAATATAGAACACGTACCTAATCTTCCAGTGGGTACGTTTCGTTTAGGGAATTTCCCTTATCCTCTCCGCAAGGTGAATATGGTTGAGGCATACCTACATATAAGTAGCTAAATTCCGATATTTGTTACTTCAGTGTGTAGTCATCTGAATGACTAGTGCCTACTAAGTAGAGTTATTGAATACTGACCTGTTTGACCCACTCTTTCTCGGACTGTTCAATGACATGAGCGTACGTGTTGCCCATCATAGCTATCAACATGTTCAGCAGTAGAATGGGTACAAACACCATGAAGATCGCAAACACCGTCTTTGACAAATTCGGGTATGTTGTCAGACTGAGGTCTGTGTACTGAAATATTGCGAGGGTTAGAATATAAAATTGAAATATGACGTGTTGGTCCGGAGGCTTAAGACGCCCGCTTCTCATGAATGAGGGTACGGGTTTGAAACCTACCAACAGCAAATACGAATGTGACATTTTTCAAGTTATTAAGATTATTTAAACACTACCTACTGACAAACGGCGAAGGAAAACATCGTGGGGAAACCTGGGCTTATAATTTCTAATTATAAGTTTGAAATCGCCAACCCGCATTTAGCAAGCGTGGTCATTAATGCTCAAATCATCTCTATGTGAGAAGAGGCTTTGCTCAGCAGTGAGCATTTATAGGCTGTTGATGTGTTTGAAATATATAAATAGGTAGGTCTACTTATGCTCAGAATAAAAATACTTAAGTTGGTACTTACACTGTAGTCTCCCAACGTAATTTGGAACAGTGCCATCCAAGTGCTGGGGTAGCTTGAGAACAACGTGGACTGCACGTTAGGGAAACCTGGAAAATTGATAAGTCCTTTCATTTTCATAGCATCGTCATGAATGTCGATACGGGCTGGGGAGCCACGGCAGATTTTAAAAATTTTACCATAGGTAGGTAGTATAAGTGCGACAATATTAAACAATCAATACAGACTACATTTTGCAGGTAGGCCTAATAATTTGATATACTGTATAGGTTAATAATAAATACCTAAGTTTAAATTTTTCAGGGAGTGAGGGGGAAGTTCAGCAGTGGATGACCTATGGCTGACATGATGATGATGAAAGGGAAAGTTTATTCATCCGGTATCTAGATACCATCGGTACCCAATTCAGGCCCGGTTTTATATTGGGTAGGTATAATATATTTTCTGTATATTATTCGAAACAATTTCTAAGAGGGTTCAGTGGAGGTGATTTATATACCATGATGGATCTAACAAGGGTATATAAATCTTCTGATTTATTTCGTTGCGGGAATCACGTTTTTGAAACGCGACTTGTATCTACTGTAGAACCTGGCTTATAAGAGTTGCAGCGGTTTTGTGAGGTTGTGGTGGGCTTGTCCCATTAAACAACAATAATATGGGCCTAATTTAGGGCGCCTAAAAGAAGACAAAGTAAGCATCACCTTTATACAAGAAGTAGAAGGACTGTGAGAATCCAAACAACACGATGGAGTAGATGATCCCGAAGGTGAACATGTCGCCGGTGATCATGCTGTAGATCATCGTCACGAATGGACCCGTCAGCTTGACAGCTCTAGTGATCAAACGTTATCAATAAAAAACTTTATTTTCCTAATTACAATAAAAATATCTCATTTCTTTTCCATTTTTGTAACGTACCCAGCAAAGAACATGAGTAGAAACCAGAAGCCAGGCAGTAGAAATATGAGTAACGCTTCTTCTAGCATCGTTTGCCTCATCAGACGCGCTGGTATGCACGCTAGGAGCAACAGGTTCGATATCAGGAAGATGAACTTAGCTGGTTCGTGGATCTAGGTACAAATAATAATACATAACCTTGTTAGCAATAGGAAGTTTAAAACAAGTAAAATTAACATTATTGTTGTTAGTATGATACAAAACGTCTAAATAGGATAGATGACTAATTTTTAATATAGGCAATAGGTTCACCCCCTATTACATGGGACTCATAACATAAATAGTGAAAAGTGGGTGTTACATTGTACAGAGGCATCAAGTGCCGTAATGTACACCTCTGCCTACCCCTTCGGGGATAAAGGCGTGATGTTATGTTATGTCTGTTTGTAATATTGAAATAACCGTTGTTTACTACATGCATATGAATATACACACGATACATAGGTATACCAAAATAACACCTTTTACAATTTTTGCCTGTCTATCCGTCTGTATGTACTGGCTAATCTCTGGAATGGCTGATGCGATTTGACAGCACTTTTATTGGCAGGTAGCTAATGGTCTAAGGAGTAACATAGCCTACTTTTATTTTAGAATATTATAAAACAAAAACGTTCTAACTAAAATGTATATTCTACGTTGAAAGTTGTTGCGCAAAAAACTAGAAACGCAAAGGTCCGTAATACACACGAGCGAAGCCGCGGGCATCAGCTAATAAAATATAAAATCACTCACCAACTGTTTAAAATAAGCCACCACGCCTTGGTTCTTCAGCTCATCACCTTGTTGCAGTATGATATAGCAGAGCGTACTGGCGATAGTACCTAATTCACTTGCCAGTCGGATTCCACTCCTTGCATCAGCTATCTCCAGCCCCCAATCTGGGTGAGCATCGGCTTCCGCACTGCTGTGTCGAAGGTATACCGAGAGTGATAGCAAGAGGAGGTGCAGCATCAAGATTAGGAGACGTTTAAGGAATTTGTTCTGGAATAAAATATTTTATCTTATGTCGATTGTTAGAAGGGCACCTGATAGACGTAAGTAAGCATTGAAACTAATAAAAAGCCTAACATCTCGCTGAGAACCTGGACGCTATCCCGATTCTCTCGTAATTTTGAGTTAAAGTTTGTACAAAATCTTCACTACATAGTATACATAAAACAAAGTCGCTACCCGCCGTCTGTCTCAGTGCCGGATTAGCCACGTAGCAAGAGTAGCAAATGCTACGGGCCCCGCGAATTGGGGGGCCCCGCGCTCAAATGGGTATTTCGTAATAACACCACTTCCACAGCAAGACTTATGAAGAAAATGTTTTGTTTACAAAACTACTACCAACCTACATGTAATTTGATTTTTTTGTTAACGAAATTAACGAAAAAAGACAAATAGTCGGTATTTTGTATGTGTAAGAAAAAGAAAGTTAGTATTTGTTCGCTTGGTTGGTGCCATTGGCGGGCGAACCGAGCCCGATTTAAACGAATCAAAAATGAATTTATTAAGGAACACTACGGGCCAAGAACGTCTTAATCATCTCACAATGTTGAATATAGAGCATGACTTGCTTAAGGCTTTGACTGCCGACAGAAAACTGTTGAAGGTTAATCCTCCGCTAGCGTGGCCCATACCTTGTCCCCCATGGCGTTCAAGAAGTCAAAGAAGTCGATATTGAAAGTGTAATCGCTAAATTTGCCCATAACAAATCCAGAAAAGTTTATTTGTAACAGTTTTGTTTTATGTAATAATACCCAAATGACAATGACCAAATTTGTATGGAGCGTGGTGCCTTTTTATTTATTCGCGGCAGTTTATTGAATGTGTAAAAACTGATGCAGAATAACATTACAAACAAAAAAATATATGGGGTCTTATATCAAAAACACAGTCCAAATTGAGTTAAATCATTTCAAAGATGTGAAAATAGTGCTATATTATTCCTGTTATTTTGTTGATGGTGACCGTACACAACGCATATTTCTTCATTTACTTGTCACAAATATTTTGTAATAAATGTTTATAAATGATTTCAAGGAATATAGTAAAGCTTATAGTGGACTTTTTTTTTAATAAGGCCACGGAATCATAACAGAGTCAACCATTAACTGGCCACTGCCCAAGTAAAAAAAAAAAACATTTCGATTGCTTGGCTAGCGTGTTCAACTGTTCACTTTATACCTATGTATACGGTTTATGGGCTCTCACCAAAGCTCAAAACAAAAAATTAGAAGCTTGCCAGTCAGCAATGGAACGAAGCATGCTGAATATACGAAAATCTGACAAAATACGCAATCTAACTATCAGAAATCGCACTAAAATAGAAAACATAACGACGAGAATTCGTAAACTTAAGTGGCAATGGACAGGTCATACGATAAGAGGCTCCGAAAAATGGAACAAAAGCATAGTGTTTTGGTACCCTAGAAATAGAAAAAGAAAACGAGGCAGACAGTTCAAAAGATGGGAAGACGATATAAGAACAATAGCAGGAAAAACATGGACTAGAACAGCGCTAAACCGAGCAGAGTGGAAAGAGATGGAGGAGGCCTTTGCCAAAACTGGGCAAACAGACAAACTTGTTGGTGTCAACGACTCACCAGAGTCACAATTGCAAACTATTTTAATGTAAATACTTTGTCTGAATAAAGGCTTATATTATTATATATTATTATACGGTTTATGGCCTATGACAGATTTTGATGTAAGTTTCAATTTCCTCTCAGTCGAAAACCCGCAAAATACTTTACTGAGCCCTATCACGAAATGCTATGTTTGTTAGCTGCGGCGTCGGTAGCGGATTGAGTAGTGGCAATCGTCGAAAACGAAAAAAAATTTTAACTGTCTACTTCTCCCTACCTACTCCCGATTAGTCACTAATTTAACTACAGTTAATACTCTAATCTACAGCTAGCATAAGATTCTGTACAAAGATATCGTCATTCAGTCACAAAGTGATGAATTATATTTCGACTGATCACGTTAAATGAAAAAAAATATACGCTCATCTGACGTATATCACTTTACAAAGTCGACGGTTTCCTTTCTACAAAAGATTATGCGAACTATAAAGTAGATAAGTCTCCCACCAGGAGTCAACGGCAAAACAAAATATACTTTATTAGATGTTCGCACGGCTACCACCGCTCAACCCACCACTGGTAACATAGCTGACGCTCATGAAGCATCCCACAAGTTATCGACTGAGAGAAAATAGGTAATAAAAATTAGTGCCTGGCAATATGAATATATTGTGGTGTGATATGGTGTTCCTGGTGCACGCCCGACGCACTACAGTTGCACGCAATTTAAAATTGGGAATTGTGACAAAAATATGAATAACTAGCTACTTCCGCGCGGTTTTACACGCTCTGCTCGGCTCCTATTGGTCGTAGCGTGATGTTTTATAGCCTATAGCCATCCTCAATAAATGCACTATCCAACACAAAAAGAATTATTCAAATCAGACTTGTAGTTACGGAGATTAGCGCGTTCAAACAAACAAACAATCCCTTCCGCTTTATTATAATAGTATAAGATATAAGATTTGAATAAAAAAACCAAAGTAAAATGTTTGACTTCAGCTCCTTTCAACGCTCATAACTCGATCCAGACTGAGATTTCCATACATGAGCCCTATGGGCTCACTTTCATATATATGGGGACAATTTCGTTTGTAATGTCATTCTAGACAATATTTTCCATAAATCATCGACTGACGCCAGAAAAAAGAAAGGACCAAATTTAGTCAATGCCCAAATGAGAACCGATAGCAAACCAAGGGCCCCTAGACAGAATTTGCTACAGGCCCCGCGCTGGCTTAATCCGGCACTGGTCTGTCTATCCCTATGTATGCGTAGATCTTTAAAACTACGGATTTTGATGCGGTTTTTTTAATAGAGAGTGATTCTTAAGGAACGTTTATATGTATGATACATGCATTTTATACCCGTGCGAAGCCGGGTCGGGTCGTTAGTAGATTATAAAATAAATTCGCCTTGAGCAAGCGCCTGATTAATTCTCACCCTTCTGCATAATATGAGAAGAGGCATTTGCTAAGCAATGGACACCTATAGGCTGACGATGATGATGATAAAACAAAACTCACCCTGGCAAATGTCTTCCATTTCTCTTCTAGCAGCCTCTGTATGATACCTCCGTCCAACATGTTCAGATGCTCTTGTTTCGTACCGTTCAGGATTATAAACAACGCAGAGTTCCAATCTGTAAATATTCAACACTATGGTTAATCATGAATTAAGTGCCTACTGTGGTTACTGAAGTTAATAAGTTAGATTTCTAAATTTCTTAAGATAAAACTCACAAACTCGTGCAGGTAATAGTACCCATAACGCATTGTTCTTTAACCGACTGCCCAATACCTAAACCACAGAACATATAAAGAAAGTCCTAAAGTTAAAGTTAAGTTATCTAAACGCTATTTGCATGTATGTAAGTACATACCTACACGTGCGTAGATGAATCACTAAACGGCTACTGCGCAACGTGTCGCAGGTTCGACACTTGCACGGAACAACTTTAATAATTTTTTAATTTTTATTGCGGATAGGTTGTTGTGTACCATATGAAAGCATGTTTGTGAACGCGCACGCGATATAAGAGTAAAAAAATCCTAGTGTGGAGCATGATTTATCAAGTACCTAGTAACCTACCGAAGGTACAATAATCATTCAAAATAATTATGAACTCAGCTGCTCAGACAAGACTGCTTACACTTTCTCGATAGCAGAGCGCGAGACGCATGAGGGGCGAAGGAAGGGAGCGAGAGGCCCCTCCTCTCGCCACGAGGATCTCAAGGCCAGTACAGCTAGCCCAGTCAGATTGTAGTATAGTTTTATCACAGTATAAAAAACATACTGTAGGACGACGCCTTTGATCTCGTGTAACTAAAATGCCGACATCGTCTCGTCGTATCGGCACCGACTAACTCATCACTATTTTTGTGAAGTCGGTTTTTTTAACGCAGTTTTTATTTTATCATTTGTAGTGCAAAACTACATAGACCCGTTTTTCTACTTATAATCCAAATAGGTGCAAAGTTCTAATCAATACAAATTATACAAACCCAAACACAAGGTAGTTACTGTAGACCGTTGAAGAGTTACATTTCGACAGAACCATCATTTTCACCACCCTCGAAAACCATGAAAACGACACCCATGACGATAAATTAAAAATTTTGTGCAGCCGCCATCTTGGATTTAGATTCTGATAGCGCCATCATTTTCACAACCCTCGAAAACCATGGAAACGAGACCCACGACAATAAATTAAAAATTTTGTGCAGCGGCCATCTTGGATTTACTACATTTAGACAACACCATCATTTTTATCACCGTCGAAAACCATGAAAACGACACCCATGACAAAAAGTTGAAAGTTTCAGGCAGCGGTCATCTTGGATTTAGTACATTTAGACAGCACCATCATTTTTATCACCCTCGCTAACCATAAAAACGACACCCATGACAAAAAGTTGAAAATTTCAGGCAGCGGCCATCTTGGATTTACTACATTTAGACAGCACCATCATTTTTGCCACCCTCAAAAACCATGAAAACGATACCAATGACTATAAATTATATCCCGAGCTGCTATCATCGTTTTGTTCGCAGCTCGGGCGGCCTACCCGCGTCTCGCCCCTCACACCCCGCACGATTGCGGATTGCCCAGTCAAAACGTCTTCGTTGGACGACTGTATATATATAGACTGTGGGTTTATACTGTGGTCGACTGTCGAGATAAGTACTGTATGTTCTCTCTCACACATATCGCGCGCGTCGCATGCTCTGCTCGTCTGCCCCCCCTCGTCACCTCACGCCGCGCCTCGCATTCCCCGCGCGCTCTGGCTGTTGCGTCGCGCTAGCTCAAGTTACGTAAGTACCTATTTGTTCGCGCGATCCGCTCAATGTCTGCGCGGCGAGAATAAATAAACTGATAAAACATCATGATGTGCTGTTCGTAAATTGGAAGGGAGGTAAGTTTTTTCCTTTACCTATTTATTGAATATGATTTTAATATATTTCTAGGTAGGTAGACTATACTCACTTGGTGGAAAAAGAAAAACAAACTGGATTTAACTATAAGTAGTTTTAACAAAAACGTTATCTTTTAAATTTATGCACCGAAGTTAGTCACAGACAAACGCCGCCATCTTTGTTTTCGTACAAAATCGCATCTCTTTCATGATGTGCACTGTGCAACTAACTTCAGAACGATGGCCTTTTTTGATGTATTATCTGATGTGATATTTGTGATAAAAACCTAATTTAACTAACATGTTACTTACTGGTTCTTCCATCAGGCAATAAAGTGTCCAGTGCGTTGAGAGGATAAGCAGAGCAGGTGATATTAGAATATCGCCAGAACTCCTTGGCAGATAGTTCTAACATCTCCCTGAAGACCGATGCTCGGCCCAGTTGACAGGCCAAGGTCAATGGTGTGAAGCCAGCCAGGTTCATCCGGCCATTACTAGCTGGAACTTTCGGGTGACGGAGCGCGTATCCAAACATGTCCTTAGAGGAAGTGGTAAGTTAAAAGACATTATGCAAGTGGATTACAGTTTTATACATTAGTAGATAATGCTTAAAATCTGCTTAGTTATACAATATAATGAGAAAGGTTTGATGTCATATCAGGCAAGCTCATATCTGTTTTTTAATATCGACAAATACTTTTATGGATAAACGATTCCACTGTCTAGCAGAACATAAGGGCCAAGAGAGCATTTGCTTTTCAATGTCCCGTATCACTGAAACTCACCAGTTTGTCGCAAACGACCACCATATGCAATATCATGTTTCCGAACGAATCCTGCGCGTCCGGATCTGCGCCAGAATCACAAAGTAGGTTGTACACCCCCTCGTTAGCACAGCAAGCGGCCCAGGCTAAGGGGTACTCGCCTAAATACGCCAGACCTTCATAGTTTGTCTGTCTAGCTGGAGGCACGCGTTGCTGGTCGCGAGGTAAAAAAAAACTGCCTGTGGAAGGAATATTTTACATTCTCCTAAATATTAATGAATCTCTCAGACATTAGATTTGTTATTAATTTTGTAAAAAATATCAGTTGTTGTAATGGCTTACCAATAGCTCTCTGGTTGACGTCAGCTCCTGCCTCCACTAAGTCTTGAACAAGTTCATTGTTGCTGTAGGCTATAGCCAGGTGCAGAGAACTGGCTCCTGCAACAGAATTAGAAAAACACGTTAGCGCCTTCGTACAAACGCACACACTGCGAAATGTTGACAAAAAAGTGCTTAGATATTAGGAAACGTTTAAAGAAAAGTAGATCCTACTTTTAAAGTAATAGGTCTATGTATTCATTAACTTACCTAAATATTCTTCGCCCTCCACGACATCTAGTGACAGTCTTGGAAAACATTTCACTAGCGTTCTGGCTAATCTTGTGTGAATCTGAAAGACAGAAAACGCTTTATTATTTTATTAAACTAAAGAGCAAAGAAAAAACAGCCATTATAACATTCATTCAAACTCAAAACTGAGAAAATCTGATAATCTCACCTTAGTATCACAAATGATGAGAACATGTAGTAGTGACTCTCCCAGAGCGCCTCGGTAGCACATTTGCCAACAAGCCGTGTGATCCTCCCACTTCGCGAGAGGGTCGTGAGGAGACAGGGACGCTTCGATTGGTAACACCACCTGACCAAACAACATTTTATTAAACTACTTACTCCACGTCGTCGTCCTAAAACTTACTACTTGGGTATTTATTATATTTTTTGTGAATCACGCAAAAATTGTATTTCGTGTGTCTGAATTCTGAAATCTAAGATTTAAAATTAATTTCTATAATGTCAATCTCTATAATCTGTTAAATACATTGATCTAAATAATACTGAATTGTTCAATACAATACACATAATGTTAAGCGAGCAATGTAAGCAGTCCCTCGCGCATGAATAATATCAGCTGACTGAAAGGCGCGGGGGCAATGACCTCGCTACCAGCCCAATCGCCCATCAATTGTTTTTTTACGTATTAACAGTTTGAAGTCGTTTTCGAGTTTAGTTTTCACAATAGGTATATGTTTTTATTCTATACTAGCAGCCCGTCCCGGCTTCGCACGAGGTTAGGGTTGCCACCTTTTATTTTGGTATTTAAAGTACATTGACAATTATAGGTAAGAAAAAAAGTACATAGTACAAAAATAAAGTACAATTTATTCTTATTTAGTATGAAATCTAGGATTTGTACTTAGAATGGTTAGAGGCTTCACAAATATGAGAGCTATAACGACACTATATAATGCTTTAGTAAGAAGCCAGCTTGAATGCAATGCAGTGATCTGGGCTCCACATGAAACTAAGTACAGTCTCATGCTTGAACGAGTACAGAATAAATTCATGAGATATAAGTATATGAGAGAGTTCGGGGTATATCCATTCTACCCATTAATGTATCCAACTCTGTTTGTCTTGGGTATGGTTGGATATAATGAACTACAGGTCAGGAGGCAACTCGCATTGGTGACTTATATCTTTAAAATAATTAGGGGGAAGATACACAATCCGGATATATTGCGAAGGGTTGAACTGGTCGTGCCCGATGGATACGTGAGTCGTCGTCGCCAGCCGCGGTTACTGGCAGAACCACGTTCGCGAACTAACTTGCTGCGGGAGGCACCGCTCACGTGTGCGCTTCGCACTCTGAACCTCATTGCTAATGACGTAGACATATTCTGTTGCTCTTTAGGAGAATTTACACGAGCAGCCATGCATAGGATTTGCTATATGTAGTAAAAGCTTATTATATATTCTTTATCGTATTATATTTCTATAGAGTATATGGATATTTCTTGTTTGTATTTTGTTTATTATTGTTATTTTAATATTTGCTGCAATATCGCATTGGGTCTAGCCTGTAAGGATATTTGTATGTTATGTGTGTAAATAAATAAATAAATAAAAAAAATATTTAAAAATATATTTTTATTGCTTTTTGCAGTTTGTATTAAATTAGTATCTTTACTAAACAATTGCATCTTTACTAGAAATTGTCTAAGTGGCGCTGGCGAGTGGCGAAATCGATTCAACTTAAATCGATAAATATCGATATGGAATCGGTAAGTTTACCGAAAAATACTTACGACTTTAATAGAAATGAAGTTTGCAAAAATAAAGTATTTTCGTGTACTTTATTATTCTTATAAAGTATAGAGTACAATTACCTTAAATAACGTACAATACTTTATTATAAAGTACGGGTGGCAACCCTACACGAGGTAGACAATTATTTATTTTTGGAAATTTGGATTGTTGTAGTGACATAACTACAATAGTTGGACATATGCTACCGCGGAGTTTTTTGTAGACATTATGATGTTCTTCAATATTGTTGTACATTATTTTGTTCTATCGCTAATAGTTTCGGCAGCGCATTCGACGAAAGACATTTTAAGACTAATTTTTCTACACCTTAGGTTACATTGTTCAAATTTTACCAAGGAACCCAATTTTTTTTTCAAAATGAAATGTAGCCTATGTCAAATTGGAAGAATGTAGCATTCTATTGGTGAAATAATTTTTTACATCAGCCCAGTAATTTTTGAGCCTATTCATTACAAACATACAAGAATAGGTACAAATCTTTCCTCTTTATAATATTTGTATAGATAGATATAGATTTATTATAGAGGTATATCAATAAATAGAGAGATACAGGCACATTTAGAATAATTTACAACCTATCGAGATAAAGTCATTAAGGAGAAAAATAAACAAAATATTGTCAATAAAAGTTTAAGTAAGTAGGATCGTAAACATTCTACTATGCACATAAATCGTGACAAAATGTGAAATGTTTGTTCGAATCTGTTGTTCCTTATTGACTGACCTGCTCCTGATCCCTGAACTTCCACCGCAAGTACTCCGCGCGGTTGATGACCCGTCCCCTGCCGCCAGCATACATGTACGATGCAAACTCATCCCGGATCAACTTCTCTGCAGCCATCATTCCACCTTTAGCATACGTCTCGAGGAGCAGACCCCCTGAATTTATACATGGTTTCTCTTTAAATAAAGTACTCAATAGACTACAGATACAGACCATAAACATTGATGTTTGCACAGAATGAAAAATAATACAGATAAGACGCCGGGTAGGTACCTAAACGGCGCGGCGTCAACCATGTTTTTCACATAACATAACAGGTAGGCAGAGGTGCACATTACGGCCCTTAATGCCATTGTACAATGCTAAGCATTATTTACTGCCTCGTTGGCCGAGTGGTCGCAAGTGCGACTACTCGGCCAAAGAGGCAGCTTTTCACGATGGCAAGAAATTAATGAAAGTAAGCAATTACTTGATGTCATGGGTACTTAGTCGTTCAGTAGATGATTATCGATGTTCTAAACATATTTAACTCGTCAAGTATTCTATCCAGTACTTTACTAAATAGGTGTCTAGGTATTATTAAAGTACAAACATACAAGTAGGATCACCCCCTATTACATAGGACTCGTAACATAAATAGTGAAAAGTGGGTGTTACGTGTTACATTGTACAGTGGCATTAAGTGCCGTAATGTGCACCTCTGCCTACCCCTTCGGGGTTAAAAAGGCGTGATGTTATGTTATGTTTTTCAGTATTTATGTGTTATGAGTCCCTTGCCATATACCGGGCACAATTTCAAACTCCGTTCTTCTATTGAGAATGTTTAAAAACATAGTAATACATTGTCCAACCCGGGAATTGAACCCGAGACCCCTTGCCCGGCAGTCGCACTTGCGACTACTCGGCCAAAGAGGCAGCTTTTCACGATGGCAAGAAATTAATGAAAGTAAGCAATTACTTGATGTCATGGGTACTTAGTCGTTCAGTAGATGATTATCGATGTTCTAAACATATTTAACTCGTCAAGTATTCTATCCAGTACTTTACTAAATAGGTGTCTAGGTATTATTAAAGTACAAACATACAAAATACAAATACCTTTTTTATAATCGGCGAGTTTATAAAGTACTGTGTGGTCTTCGCTACTAGGCTGGGAAATGACTCGGTCGAGAACGGAACCCCCGCCTTGCACGCCGCCCGCCGACACTAACTTACTTAGCGCCTCTCCCATGGTAACTAGACTCTTAAGAGTTTAACTTACGATGTCGATATTGCGTCTGTAAAATAAAGACATTTTTTGTCAACTTTGCAGTGAAGGTTGGAAAAATTTTAAATATCTATGTATGTACAATT